AAGGATTCAAGATTAACATGATTATTTGCTTGAGGGTAAAACAATAATTTTTCATCATTTAAATTAGAGTTATGTATTGCAACTCACTTATTTAAATAACATAAATGTCTTAAATCACAGTACATGTGAGGTCAGAATAGTTCTGGGTGTGTGCACAACTGCAACTCATAAAACCTATGTTTATAGTTCAGAATGATTAAAAATACATGCCTCATGGGCCGTTCACATGAAGAACTTTCTTCAGCACAAAGTTGTTTTTGGTAAGTACAATCCCATAGCTGATACTTTAATTATAACTCACTGACTTAGGAATAGTACAACTGTAAAAAGGAGACTTGTGGAACAAGATTTATCTTGAGCAAACAGTGTTTGCGTCTTTTGTTACAGAAATAGAACACACACCTTGATTTCCACAGGATATCTCTGACATCAAGATAAAATTACTCATACTAAGCATCAGGATGAAAGCAGATGTAAAGCCTATGAATCAATGCATTTGGTGCTGGTTCTTAGTATTCCTTTTAGGACCCTTATAGATCCAACAGATCTTTGTTTCTTTTTTTCTTGGCAGCTTGATCAATAGCCAAGATACAGAAAGAATCTTGCACTTCAACTTGACTAGGCCATGCCCAGTTCTTGTTTTGTTCCAAAGTAACAAAACATATGCAATGAAGGCAAAATAGAATATATTAGAGAATGTAAAATGTTATACCTAGGCTAATAAAAAAAACAAAACAAAACATGTTTTTAGGAAGTTTTCATTAAATCTTTAGACAGTACTGAAAGTAAGACACCCTGTCCCAAAAACCACACTATTCGAAACACCAAGTCAAATTAAAACATGGCTCAAAATGAAGAGAATCTTTTCAAAAAGAACAGACAAATGTACGGATAATCTTTCTAAGGCTGATGTATAGATTTACATAACACAGCATTCAGTTCTGGAGCATACTTCTCACAAACGAGTATGAACCAGAGCCAAAAATAATCAATAGTAATTAAAAGAGAATCTGCAAGTTCAAAAAGAAAGGAAGCCGAAATCTCAGTCAGAAAAAAGGTTCTTTTCCAGCAGGGGAGGAAGGAAGGCAACAGAAGAATCAGGGTAGCAGAGGCAACAGGAGGTTCAGAGGTATGAAGGTCATAGGAAGAGGCAAGGTCTGTCAGACGCGCTTGGTATATGAAGGGAATGATGCACAACAGTAAACTGTTGGGGGAAAAGAGTAAAAGGATAAAATTATAAATACTGTGTAGGTCAGACAGTAGAATGGCTAGCATGCTCAGTAAAGCTAAAGAAACAGACGCCCAAAAGAGGTGCAGGTACGTAGGCACATGTATTAAGATTCACAGTCCCACAGATGCTCTGAGACTAACTCCCTGGGTTCATGTAGAAACAAACTCAGTCCCAACAGCATAACACCCACTGATACGCAGTATGTCTGTGAATTATGCATAACTTGGCCTGAATTTTAATTCTCCAGAAGGTACAAGACAGTTGATGCTGGAGATTCAACTTCATTCTTTAGCCTCAGATCAGGCTGGATGAGCAAGAAGAGTGATGGTGGTATAAGCCTCCTAAGTCCCACTTGCAAGTTTTCTTGCTTTAAAGACCATCTCTAAGCAAGAGAAGTCTGGGTCACCTGACAGATGCCTTCTGAGGCAGTGCACTGTGACAGCCCAGGAAAACTCCCTACTCGGCAGCCTGCAGTGCTCAATTGATTTAGAGCCACATGTAAGAAAATGTAGCTTCCTCTCTGTGAGTTTCTCCACCTATTTTTGCTTCAAGTTAACAAAATTCAACCCTTAGAGACTATCCCTAATGATTGTGAAAGACTAGATATATATCTAAGGTGACTGAAGAAATATGATCGAATTGCTTGTGAAACTGTCACAGCTTTTGTCAAGTGGCTTGTATTACCTGTTAATATATCAATAATATAATGAAAAACATTAAAAATTAGATAAGGTCCTTTCTGCTCTCCTCGTTCCTTAAAATTAAACTGGTATTATCCATCAACTAGTAGTATACATGTCATCTATACAAAATAACTGGGAAATGCTTATACCCACTCCATCCATTTCAAACTTTCTGGTTAAGTAATGATTAATTATTTTGATCTATAGCTAGAAACAAAGACACGTTCAAATAATTATTTCACTTCTTTAAAAACAGAACACTTTCTGAAATATAAAAATCAGTCCGTTGTCAAGCCCTTACCTGAGTAACCCTGTAGCAAACCCTGAGTTTACTAGTACTTTATCCAGTGTAAGAGCGAAGAATTAAACTTCAGGATCTCACTCTACAAGAAGGTGAATTGTTTATTCTTTTCCAAACATATTGCATTTATTCTAATTAGCTAGTTGAAAACATTTCAAGGCAGCATGTTTTAGTTGCTTGTCTAGGTACAGCAGCCTTTCAATACGTGCATTCTTTACCTGAGGTGAGTAGCACAGACCTTTCTATTGACTGATTTATTGGGAACTTCACAAGCCATGTGACGTAACACAACGCCATGCAACAGAGGTGACAATCTCCACTTCTGCATTCCCAAAGCACAGTCGATCTTAGAATCACATGCCATGAACAATCTGCTTAGTAAGGTAAGGAAGGAGAAAGGACCCCATAAACATATCATTTTAGACACACACACAACATACAGCTAAAGATCTATCAGACAAAAAGTTAAGAGGCAAGGTAATGTAGAGAGAATAAAAAGATTAAAGAGCAAAAACTGTGAGGAACAATTGTATTCTTGTTTGTGAAAGAGCTTCTTACCATTAGAGTAAAAAAACCCCAAGTATCTTACTAAAGGTCCTATTCACAAATAACTCACACTCCACATAAGTTTGGAAAACTCTGTGAAGAGTGATTACCACCATCCTCTATGAAATGAAAATTCCTTAACATGAATTTCCCAGAGCACAGTGGGACAACTGTGCTTGCTGGGAGGGAATGAGGGAGAGGCACAGTGGCAGATCATCAGGAACAAGAATTTATACTCCACATGATCACAGAATTTTAATTTCTGAATGGGAATCTCATCTTGTGAAAGACAAACAGCTGCCGACAGTCACCCACTCAGCAAAGGAAGACCACAATCCTCATCAGCGAAAGCTGTTTTGAGAGTGATTTCAGAACAAATATGCCTTTCATCAATACCTGGCATCAGTAGCTTATGCTGCTTCCCACCTTGCTCTATGAGAAAACACATTTGCTGAGGTTAGAGCTAGGAAGATTGAAAATTTTTTCTTCTTTAAATCTACCGCCAAAGCCCTATTTGCACTGCTTGAGGCATTCCCAGGTAATAAAAATCATCATTGCAAAACTCTGTTCTTGTACCGCTCAATTGCTTCAGTATCTAAGCACCTTTCAGAATGGCATTAGGCAATATAATTAGCATCCGTCATACATGCTGCTTTCTCTCATGGGTACATCTGCACACATTTCTCTTGTGTAAAACTATACACGTATCTTTAATCTATACATGTATCCTTATCTAGGTAGAGCACAGCACAATTATAAAGCTGAACTTATCCCTCTACAACACTGATGCTTTAGGTCTAAAATAAGTACCTACTATGTACTACTATTTTGCTCTCAGTAAACTGAGGATAATAAAAGCTCATGTTATGTTTCCATGTACAAGCTTAATCAAATCCTTTTGGCTGGGATATTGTGTTTGTTTAAGAGCAAATGATCAGGATGATAAAATCAGAGCTGCATTGATTAAAGAGTATTTGATCACCAAGGTAGATCAGGAAAGCATTGCAAAATAACAGTGGTAGAAACTCAAATGAAGCAAAAATATTAATGCAAAGGCAGCCACAATGGAGTTTTAATAAAGAAAATATTGTAGGCAAGCTGATAGTATCGGGGGGCGGGGGGGGAGAAAATAGAAAATGTTAAGTATAAAATGATTTCCATGCATATGCTGGTAAAAATGAATTAGGGTTCATCGTGAATAAGATTAAGGTTTTCTTCTAGTATGGATCTCCTTAATTTCCTTCTCCTGTCCCTATAAAACCTGTCAATCTGTATTTCCTCAGCATGGATTTGAAAAATTATGCTTTAGCTGGTATCCAACAGCAAACAAACCAACGTTAACGTAGAAGAGTAACTGCTACCTGCTGAATAATTTTGGTAAAGAAAATGTCCTGGAAAAAGATCTTTTGTGAAATTAGCAGCTAATGGAGACATTACTCTATCCCACGGTTAGGAGACAGCCTCCTAATTGTCAAAGGAAGCGTGTCCATGAGATACCATAACATGCAGAGCTCTGCTGCCTTTACAAGATCTACATGGGTGTGCAGGGCAAGCCCACAGGGAACATAATACATGATCAAAGACTTGGATTGTGTACAAAGATTTAAAGACAGTCGATGGATAAGCATGAAGAAGTAGCACGGAAACATGCTTTTCGCAAATACACAAGAATGTGGAAAATACCGTATTTTGTTGTCTGGTAACTGTTTTGCCCCACGGGGAAGAGCACAGAAAGAACTATCCAGAGATGGCAAGGAAGATGTACCCACTAAGACAGGAGGGCCTTTAAAAATATACAGCTCCTGTAAATGGCTTAATTTTCCTAAGGGAGACACTCTGTAGTTTTCAACCTAGACTGATAGACCTATCAAATCTCAAAGGAACTCACCTCTGGAAAGGCAGAAAACATGTTAGTACAGAAAAACAAACATGGAGAATTAATACAAGACAACCGATTTTTGCTTTCAGCTGCACAATGTCCCAAGGTTTGATGGCTGCTTTTAAACATTTCCATACAATGGCCAGGTATCATAGGCAAAACTGTCTTCAAACAAGTGTTTGGTTTACTTTATATTAATTATTTACACTGCATTGGGCATTTTAGAAGACAATAGGCTGAGAAAAAAGGGAAAAAACAGACACATAAGTCTAGAGAGCAGAGAGGAAAGTCTGGAAAAGCTACCCCTGTGAGTAACCATCAGAAGAATGGAAATGCAAATACATATATTTTCAAACGTACGTTTAGGTACCAGCTCTGTTGGTGCTGTAACATCTCCTTCTCTGTAACAGACTGTTGGATCCACAATGTCTCTGTCAGGAGGAGGGTATGGTGGGGGTGGGGGGATCACTAACTGGGGTGGACCACGAGTGCCTCTAGGAGGCTTTTGCGGCACCTGCCGTCCATCACCTACAGGGGGGATCAATTGACTAGTTATTTTATTGTCAAGATAATGATCGCTCTGTTTAGCCTTTTTTTTTAAACAAACATTGAGTTTTCCTTACCCATATCCAAAGTCTCTCTGGATAAAATTCTGCTGTTGGGTACCCCCAAATAATTAAGGGAGAAGTAAAAACTAGGTCTCTCTTAAAGCAACAGCAAGGGGACCAGAGTATACGTATACATACATATACATACAGCACATATGTATACATCACAACTAACAGCTGAAATCACTAGTTTTGGCAGACATAAGGAAGGAGAAAAATAGTTTAATTTAAAAAAAAAAAGAAAAAAGCTATGTAAGGAAATGTGAAAAATGTGTTTTATTTTTATCTTCTTAAGTGCCAAACTGCCTACATTTCTTGACCTCTAGGATACTTTATGTGACTATTTTCCTGACTCTTGGTGAGAGAAGAGGAAGATGCCTCAGGTCAGTGTTTTGAAGTAGGTATCTTGACAGGTTTTTCTTTTTCTGAGTAGATTTTTTATTATTTTTCATTGTGGAGAAGCAGAATATTAAGTAATTTTTTGCAAAACAGTGTTTTAAGCTATCAAAGGAAATGCTCTCAACTTTGGCTGGCGGCTTATTTCAATACTGTGTGTAATAAGTAAATAAATACTTGTGCATCCTTGTACTACACTCTTACTAACCATTGGCAATATAAAAAAGCTTCTGGCAGTTTGTATTGTACAGAACTACAGCTATTGCAATTTGGAAAGTCCTTAGAGGCTGAAAGGGCACTGAGGAACCATGCTCGTTCTGCTGTCATACACTGCCTTAAGCATCTGCTGTGGTCACTGCTGAAGATGGATGCTGGCAGAGATGAATCTCTGGTCTGATCCATTCTGATCATTCCTGTACTCTCAGGCTCATGCTCTGGTACTGCTGAGAAGCGAAGCAGCACCAAGAGTGAGAGAGGAAGAAAGATTAAACCATGAGAGTTTTCTACTTAGAGGTCAGTAGCTTCCAGAGATTCAAGCCACAATTTAATGCTGGCAAATGTGGAGAGCCTTCTTCACTGCTATGAGAAAACTGGGCACAATACTTTGGGGTCAGAACAAGTGGTCCAGTATTGAATACTGAAGTGAATTTACCAGTTTAAGAATATTTTGATAGGATCTTTTGCTTTGATTCCTGTGGCTAACTTTGGAGATACATAAGGTAGCTTTAATCTTTTTTCCATCATGTGGCTGCCTATTTCTTGCACCACGTTTTTCTCCTCACTACAGTCTTGCTTTATTCACAGCTTTTCTCTCTTGCTTACAGAGCCATCTGTGCTTTCTCATCGTTTTCTTGCAAGGGCCCTGAAGAGAGGCTGTTTTACCAATCTTCCTTTGCTGCAACATTTTTTCTTGTTAATGAATGCATTCATTCAAGAAAGTAGCAGACAATGAAAAGCACTGAAGATGGGGCTACTGTGGGATGAGTTCTTTGTTGGTGTAAATTAATAAGGCTCCATTAAGGTAAATGATACTACAGAACCCTACATCAGCAGAGTCTGGCCAGCAAGCACTTATGTACACAGTACTGAACGGACTAGAAGTGGCTCTGCTTTATTTCAGCTGTAACATTCTGAGCACTGATACAAAATAAAATGAACACTTACAAAACGTTAAAGCACCAAATGTCATCAATAAGTGACCAGCACTTGGGCAAAGCATGAGGAGTGACAGACTGTGACATCTGCAATGGTTAAAAGTAGGCAAATTTGCTGAAAACTCCTGTGTTACATGGCACAGTGATAATGCTCCCCTTAAGAGGGTTTAAATAAGAGATGTCAATGGAGTTGAACATGTCACAGGATAATGGACTCCTACTGCTACATAAATGCTGAGGCATTAAATGTGAAGCATTTACTGAAAATAAATGTTGGAGCAAAGCCAAGAGGTTTCTCTCTAAACTGTGAAGCATTTGTAATGTAAGCAATTATGTATGACAGTATGTCATATCTGTATGTCTTAGGCACTTTATGAAACACCAGGTCAAAGGCACAAACTAAAGTGCATTGAGTGCATTATGGCACTTGAAGAATGATTCTTTTAATGTACTGAAAAAATGAGTTCAAATATGTGGGGTTATTATCTCATACCTTCACCCATCATAAAAATCCCTTCGTTTGCTAAAAGCGTACTCTTGGGGTCCTCACTTGGGCAAAGCTCCCACCAGTGTGAATAAGCTAGGAGTCAGATAATGACAGAAGTCTAGGAAATCCTTTCTCAGCCTTCCTGTATGAGAGTAAATGTCGTGTCACATACAGCTGAAGGCTACAGTTTCTTTTGTTGTCTCCAGCTGTATATGGCATTCCTTTGAGAGCATCAGTTCTTTTCTTCTGCTGATTAGCTGAAGACTCAGCAGAGATTGACTTATAATAAAACTGAGGACTAAATTAAAAATAAAAACTTCACTGAACATGGCCAGCTGATGACAAACTGTTGGAGGACTACAGGAAAAGAAAACTTCTTCAGGCTTCAGGAACATGAGGAGACACTGAACCAGCTTCACTGTACTAGCAGAACCCCATGGCTTCAGATGCATTCAATATTGCTTGGCCTATCTCCATTTACTAGCATTTCCATTTACTGTTTCCATATTTCCACTAACTACCAAAAAAACCATGAACTCAAAGGTGCAGAATTGGCTCAGGGCTAGTGCTTTTGGATATTGAGCTTGTACCAAACATCCAAATCATCTAATGAGTGTTAGCTAGCTTTTACAACCCTACGGTACTCTGAATTGAAAAAAAAAAAAGAGGTAATATACCAACACTTATTTCCAGACTTTCATTCTGCAGAGAAATGCATTTTTTCCCCAAGTTACCAGTTTCCAAACTCACAGCATAACTGAATTAAGGAAAACTTCAAACAGCAAGCACTGAAAGCACATGCATGGGATTACACAGGAGAAAAGACCACCTCTCACCCATTGTGCTCTTCCTCTTGTCTTCCCTCTCTTCTGTCCTGTTTGGCATGGCAGGAGTGGGTGGAGCAGATGCAGTTGGTGGAAGAGGGGCACGCCTCTTCTTTTTCTGTAAATCGTTTAGGGATGCTCCTTTTGAAATCTAGCAAAGTGGAAAAATAGGCACAGTAAAGGATACGTTTTGTTGATGTTGTGAATTGTCAGTAACCAAAAAAAAAAGTGATTGTCATACAACCTAATTTCTCAGCACAGTACGCTTATAATGAGCACTTATAATGACAACAGGAGATTAAAAAGACAGATTGGAGGAGGAATAGTAATACCGCACTCAGAGAAGAAAAGGGACAAGAACTGCAGATGAATGTCACAGCAGAAACACCCGTCTGGTAGACATTTGATGTTTTTGGTAAAAGGGAACTTGAGTGACCAACGCTAAGCAACACACAGTACGACTTTACATACGTTGTAAAGCTTGAGCCATAGCATGATCTTGTTTTTCCACTGGTTTCTTCAGACCTTGAATTATGGTTAAATACTTCAATCAGTATGTATTAGATGTATAGTATGTATTAGAGAATAAACTCTCTAATTTCTTTGTTTTTCCTCTCAAATTCTTGTTTAAGGACTTCTGAGAGAAGAATCTGAATTGAAATTTTGCTTGCATGATGATATGAGATCATCCTGTACTCTATGTCTACTGGACTTCACAGACATACTTTTGAAGATTTGTAACACCTCGGCTTCCAATAATCGCAACATGCTGGTCGGCAAGCTAAGACTTTGTTACTGTTTACACTGCTTTTAAAAAGATGAAAAATTTTATTACAAGTGACTTGAGTTTCACTGGGTTGCAGAATATCTTCTGTAGCTTGTTGGAACTTAGCTTTTTTCCCAGAAAAAACAATAATAAAACCCCCAAAAACATAAACATGTAGGAAAATCTGTGAAAATTTTATATTTGAAAGGTATTGACAGCACTAGTAAGAACCAGGTTCAGCTGAGGCAGAGGGTAATGGGAGCTGCCCACACATGGCATGCTGTTGGCGTTCCTGTCTCCATATGCATCACTTCACTGCTCTGTCCATCCTGATACTCCCGGTAGCTGAAGATGTCTAATATACAGAACTGCTCGGTGGTTTGCTAACATTTCAAAGCCCTAAATAATAATAATAATCTTTACTTTAATCCAACAGATTAATGAACCCTTCAAAGACATTTGCTGTGGGAGATTTCATTAAACAAACAGTAGCTTCACACTGTTTAAAGGTATCATCAGAGTTCAGAGAAAAGGCACTCATTTAGATTTGTCCTTTCCTACACTGAGGTGAGCCTGTATATGGAGAAACCTGGAAGTAACTGCACTGGACATAGAGCACGTTAATCAGGATGAGCTGCAGTTTCATGGCAAACAGTTTCTATAAGGTGGAGGGAACAGAGAGTGGGAAAGAAAAATGTTCTGCTCTTGCTTCCTACTACCATGGGTTATTTCTGCATTTTACACTAAATGTCTACTGGATACGGTGAATGACTAAAGCCAGTGAGGCCATTCTAGACAAAGTCAGGCATAGTAAATAGGCAAGAATGTTAATGGCAACTAGGGATTTTACAGACTTCAATTTTGATCACCACGCTTCATGACATTTGAAAAATTAGACTTATATCCAGAAAAGAACACCAAGCCAAACATTCAGGAAGGGATACAGCAAAATTTTAGAGCTCCTTTTAAAAACTTTTGCTCAAAGTTACAGTATTACTTTATATTAAGATGGAGCAACTCTCCTGATGAAGAAACTGCCTGCCAGTGGTTAGGAACTCACTGCAACTGACTGAAGCTGAATCCCACTCTCACAGTTCTTATAGACCCAGTATACCCAATATGGAGCTGAACATGGAAAACTGATGAAACACACTCATCAGGCTTTGGTTTACAGAGGAGTAATTATATGGAGGACAGCTACATGATGCTGCACTCTTCTCCATGTCTATTTGGGGTAATTGCCAAATAGACACTTGGGAAAAAAAATCACATTCTTCTGCACTGCATTTTAAGTAACTACAGATGTGAGCATTTAATACTGTATCTTGATTCTTCAGGATATTCCAAACTTCAGTAGCTATGGAGAACTCAAATAATCTCGGAGATACGCCGCATCTCAACTTCCCCAACACTTCACAAGCACAAACCATTACTTTTGCAGTTATTTAAGAGCATTTCATAGCTTCCACATTCACTCCTGTGTCTTCAGACAGAGAAGTCATTTTCCTTGAGGACAGAAAAATGGATGGATTGGTGATTTAAAAGATAAGTCTGGGAAATCTTGAGAATCAAGGTAGAAAGTAAGAAAACGCATTTTCCACTTGAAATAATAGAGATCACTAGTCACCATTCCCCAAGTATGAGATGAATGAAGGATGCGAGTTTGGTATAGTCAAACTCCTCAAAGATACATTACCGCTTTACTAAGAAGAAAGGATCCTTGCTAGAAGCCAGCTCATTTTTTTCAGCTCTATGCGTTCCTATTTACTTGAATCTTCTGAGGAACGTTAGACAGGTGTACGGATGAACACTCTGCTACAGCTAAAGAAAAGGCTAGAAAATAGCTAGTGCTCAACTGCCATAATGCATGTTTGGTCAAATACACACACAAAAATGCTTTTATTATACTGTCAGCTAAGTGCAGTATAAACCATAAAGAAGATGAGAAGCTTGTTTAGCCAGCCACACTACAATGTATGCAACAAGTGTCTAGTTCAAGAACAGGTCATAAAAATTGTTAAAAGCAGTTCTTTAATGCCAACCTCAGCAAACCTATGAGGCTAAACATAAATGGAAAAAACCCCACAAAGAACATTCTGTTTCTTTCTTACAATTGTATATACAAAAACAATAGAATCTGAAAATAATTTGCTATGGCTGGCTGCTTCTTTTATAAAGAAATTAAGCCTTAACAACATTTTCTGAAGTAATTTCCCATCCAAACTTTGCTACACACTCTGAGTGTAATACTTTCTGAGTGTAACAGAGTATTTCCCAGTTTTAGCACTTGCGCTTCACCTATGTAGCTTTTTTAACTAGAATAAATTATTGGGTCAGCTTCTGTTATGCCACAAATACATAATTTTAAAAGATATTAAGAAGTGTTCTCTGAACATCAAAAGATGAATAAAGTGAGTCAAAAAGACCTAAGTCTGACAGACAGTGTCACTTCTTTTCCTTTACTGATGAGACCACTATGATGCAAAAAAAAATTTCCACTAATTCATGTCATGAATCACATGCTGTTTGAAAAATACTGTCAATACTGCAGACAAAATATCTGAGGAATGTGGTCAATGTGTTTTCATTCTGAGAAAGCTCAACATCTTTATTAAAATTTGAAGGGCTTAGATAAGATTTTAGAATGTATTTAGAGTACAACATCAATGTCATGGGGACGTTATGTGTCAAACTTGTGTGGAAAAGAATCCTATAAGGCTAATGCTTGAAATTTTCAATCAGCAGCATTTGACGGTTATTTTACTACCAAAACATCTGTGGATACAGTAGGAGTGGATGCATAAATTGGCTTAGAGTTTCCTCATGCATAAGAGCCCAATATTTTCTTCAGGTTAAGTTGCACTGAATATGAATTAATGAAAAACATTAGTGGAGGCCCAAGGAAACAAAAGCCACCATCACTAGAAATTCAGCAAGCATTCAAAGACAAGGAGCTTCTCAGGTAAATTTCCAATGTGAGCTCCACTCCTTTGCCTTGCCTGTCCTCTACTTACAGGTCAGACAGTGGTTTTGTATTTATCAACTCTTCACTATTAATCTTTCTAATAGAAATGTTTATCTACGTAAGTACTTGCTAAGTCATCTGGAAAATGCCACCTTTCTTTTACTCAAGACCAAAATAGGCCTAAATTTACTGCAGGTTTACTGAACCCAAAACTGAGCCTCTTTCTGTAAGCCAGAAACGATATAATTAATTTGTGCTCCTCTGTCCCTCCAATGCCTACCAACATTCACAACCCACCTGATGATGCTGACTACAGATCTCAGTTGTCTGAATCACTATTTGGACCAACAAGGAAATCTTACTCTACTGTCTCCAAAGACAGATTAAAGACTCAGAGAGCCGCACACACTCAAGTTTGTTCTGTTAGGGACAGCCCACACACTCTTGCTGTAGATGACAGAGAACAAGAGATCAGGCTTAATGCAACCTTGGAAAGTACACACAGTGCATCTTTGTTAAATAACAAAGTACTGTGATGATGTAATTACTAGTCAAGATATAACTGCAGTAAAGAACCTAGCAGCTACCAAGGTGTTCCAAAATGGTGAAAAATCTGGATAAAAATCCTTAAGCTAGCACTAGAAGCCCAGCTGGATTTTGTGGGCTTGAGGGGAAAATATAATGTAACATCTAAACTGGATGTTAAAGAGCACTTTGGTGCCTTCTGGGAACTACTGCCTTTCAAGCAATACATTTTGCCTATTTATTCAATAGCAGAGGTGGAGCTTGATACTCTTCAAGGACTACCGTGTTGGGACACAGAGACCAAGAGAATGAGCTGTGTTTTCTTCCTGCTCCCAAGACTGATGTCTGGAGAGAAAAGTGGACACATGAGAGACACTTACTTCCTGCAGGACTGAGAAAGAGCCTGGAAAAAAGCTGGGCGATCTCAGCTCAGAAGCACAACTAAGAACACAAGTGGGGAAGAACTTGAAAATTGCCATAGAAAGACTTTATTGGACTTGCACACTTAAATCGAACAGCATCTTCCTGAGTTACCTGGAACATGTTTTTCCTGAACAACTGTAGGTTTCTGCTGTAGTTGGCATCCATACTTACTGGAGAAATCCTGGAAGACTGATAGACATATCTAAACAGTTCTAACTGTGCCTTAACAGAAAACCTCTCAGTAGACCTACTCAATATATGATTTAGATGTAAAGAAAAACGTCCATAGTTTGTGTTTTAAAATCCAAACCACTCTTCCCAATAGTTTCATAAACATTACAAGAAATATTTGTCTTATGGCAACAAATTTATTTTTCCTTTCACTCTCCCTGCTATAATTTTGCCACAGAAAAGGAAAAATGGAAACTTGAAAACCTAACATTTTCCAGGTTTGCCATTTAACAAAATCCTC